AACAAGATAATTCAAATTTGCTTGTGGGAAAAACATTAAAGATGTCAAAGAGACAAATTGTTATTCAAAACAGACTAGTTTTAAATGTCTTAAGTCACATCAAGAGGTGTCTTTAACTCCCACACATACAGTAGGAGGGTTAAAGGCGGATACAAAAGCTTGTGTTGCCTCTTTCCATATGAAGGAAGATGACAGTGAGGTAATCTGTGTCAATTACTTATAAATCAGATGTTTCATTATATTATTTTCACTCAAAAAGCACATGAACATGCAAATCAAGTGTTTGAATTCATATTTTTATGTTATTGAATAGGTGGATTCTGGAAAAGGTCATATGAAAAAGGCATTAAAATGCACTCTTCTGTCCCACTTTGGAATGACTGGTTGCTGTGAATGTTAATCCCCCTCTCTCTTTTCCCTCTGTCTTTTTCTCCCTCTTCCTTTGTTTCATTCTTTCTTTCCAGCTGGTGCTGTTTTCTGGGAAACTCAACACCATCGCCAGTATTGTAACCATTTTCTTCCTGTTGGTGTATGCTGCTGTGGACCTGGCCTGCCTAGCTCTGGAATGGGCCTCTGCACCTAATTTCAGGTACACACGTGTCAACACACACACACACACAGTTTACCTGTCATAATGAAGGCGTATGGTTGACATCCTGCGATGTGACTTCCTGTAGCACATTTTCCACACTAAACACACTCCTCTTTATTTTCTACCTCTGCCATTGTTTATGTATGTGTGTAAGGAGGTGGTTGTTTGCCAGCTGGAGGCTGCTATGGTGACAATGTACTAATTAAAAGACATAAAACTGGCCAATGCTTATAGCCCCATATTGGAGAGGGACCAACAATAAAACTACGAGTTTGTGTGTTTGCTTTTGTGTGGGCGCAGCCTGAACTGGATGCTCAAGCAACGGCGTGTGGAGATGCTTTGAGATTTAAATTTACAATGTTTGTGTATGTGCATCGGTGTGTGTATGTGTGTTGTTTGTATTCCTAGGACACTTGCAATGATCCTGATTTATAAAAGCTCCCTGAAGCCTAACAGTAGCATAACCCGAGGACAGCGTTGGTGTGTATGTGGCTCGATGATTACATCATGACATCAGTGCGGCCATAGTCTGGCTTTTGATTCACTCTGGAACTTTTTTATGAGTCATTCCATATTTTCTATGTGAAATGTTGATGGTGTCACAGAAAAAATATTGTTGTCATCCAAATCTGCACTATCTTTAATTTCAAAAAGTACATCTCCACATCCAATAACCTATATTGTTTTTCTAAAGACATACCTTCCTTGATTAAACCCCTCCACTGGCTGTGAAATACATTTCAAAATGAGAACTGCTGCTGTTTTTATTTGTTATGGAGAGGAGAAACTGTTAAAACACCATGCATCATTTTATTGTTATGATAGGTTGCCTCCAGCAGTGCATTTGGTGTTATATATTCCTCTGCAGTGATAGTTGGAAAAGAGTCGTAAGACGTGAGAACATTTGCAGCTTCCCACATCAAGGGCACAACTGTCAAGTCTAGTTGAAATCAGGATGCAGCCACAAACTGTGTAAACACCCTGTACAGCCGGAAAACAAAGAGGTTGAGGAGGAGTCCTCAAATCAATGAGTTCCTCTTGTAATATTGATTCACAGATTCATTCAATTGTTGCGCTTCTGAATATTTTGTAGGTTAGTGTTAGTGGATTCAATTGATAGTTGCATACACCTCTAGTGTTGTCTTACTAAACACTGGAGCAGATTTAATACCTCGCTTAAAGGCATTCACAAGAGCTGTGTTCTTACCTGTAAGATGACACTATTCAACAGCAGCTGCTTCCTTTATGTTTAAATGTCAGCACAGAGAAGATGTTTGTACCAATTTTCTTCTTCTTCTATCCCAATATATTCAGAGCAATCCTTTTCCACACATTTCTCTGTCAACTCCTGAAATGCCTTTTTCAGTGCTTATTAAACTCCAGTGCAGCTGCATGGTTAATAATTTCTGTTATGAGCTCTAGAGTAATATATTTGGGAGAAATGAAAACAACTCTGTCCCTGTGTTTTGTCTTTTAATGGGACTTCATAGCATATATTTCATTTAGAGTTCAAGCCTTTTAATGTTGTCTACTTATTCTCTACATTTACCCCAATCATTAAGCAAATTTGTCTTGTAATTAGATTGTTTAATATTAAATAAGAAGTATGCAGAAACTAATGCTTTAAAGGAGCTGCTGTCCCAGCACATCGAGAGAGCCTGAGTGTGATAGCACAGTTCGTAAGACATCATGCTGTGATTATGTCTTCCTGCGGGTGATTGACAGGAGGCAAAGAGAAATGTACACATTCACATGAAAATTCTGGGACAAAAAATAGAACTATGCTGTTTGTAGATGTATCTTGTGTTTTCTGATACTATTAGCTCAGTTTATGTTATTCAGTTATATATTCATGTTATATCAACTCCAGTGTTTCCTACACACAGGCTACACTTAGAGGTACCACCCAGGTATATTAACAGCTGCCAAGTATATGAGTCATTTTGACAACAACTGCGGTTGATAAATACAGTTTAATCTCTAGTTTGTTCTGAATACCAAGGAAAGCATATATATATGTCAACGGATGCTTTTGTTGATTCAAGTAGAACAGCCATTTTGGTGTTTCTTGAGAAGACTCAAATAAACTGGGCTGCACTGTGTGTGTACCAGCCCAAACAACTCATAGTGATGTAAAGACAATAGGAAACTAAAAAGGTGGCTGTGTTGGCAACAGGTCACACCGGTTGGTGTCAAACCAAAGCAAGGGTTAGCTACTGTTAGTTCTGCAGCAACATTGGATTTAACCAAGCAGCAACCTCCTGATCTGAATAATTGTGCCAAAAACTGCAGTTCCTTAAATCACTACTTAAGGCTGGCTCAAAAAGTAAGAAGTAAACATGTTTACATCCTGGTACAAAGACTGTTTTGGGAGATATAGCTAATTTCCCTGTTCACTGTATGTGGGGTGCATTTTTATATTCTCACCCGTTTCAAGGCTTGAAGCTATTAATAAATAATTAAGAGCATGGCCGCTTTGCGTGACAGGTGGGTGGCGTCGCATGTTTTCTGGTTTCAGCAGCCAGGCTTCATTCAGCCAACCTCAGCTCCACACACACTCCACGTCTTTGCCCATTTTTAAATTAGACGGGAGCCGGCAGAGTTGGGCACTGCTAGGAGTGGCGATGGCCAGAGCCGACCACACTGAGCGTCACACTTCACCCACACTACGTTATGCAGTTTTACACAGTCTACGGATTTAACTCTTAGGGCCGGGATATATTCGGACATGTAGTCGTTCTGTTTATACTACTTTTCGGGGTCCGCTCTGAGGACATGTCCCACACATGCGCAGACTAGTTCCTACTGTCCTGTCCTGACGAACATCACATGGACCCTCGCGCATCCGTGGACGCGGAAAGTATAATTTCAGCTGTAGCCTGTTATCTCCTCAATCTACAATTCTGCAGCTTTATTTCAGCTCAGTTCAGGGATCTGATGTATTATTGTGATGAAGAGTGGATTGCAATTTTTCACCTGTGGGAAATAATGAACTCTTATGTAACATGAATGTGCACAATTATTCACCTGCACCTGTTATTTCTAAATAAGATTTGCCCATTTGAGTACCTCATGTACCTGAAGCCAAAAAGAAAAAAAATAAACTCTTGGGAAATTGTGTTTTGCAAGCTTTTTTTAAGTTTTAAAATTTGACATTGGCAGAAGGTGCTGTACCTTGGCTATATCGTGTATCATTTCACTTTTGTACGAATATTAAAATGCGTCAATTTCAAACTGCCACAAGAGTGCACTGTCAGCATCAGTATATGGTGTCTACTGTATAGCATTAGTGTAGTGAGGAAGTGCTTGTTGAAGGGTGAGAGAGGAACTTTCCTCTGGTGCCCTTCATGTACAGTGCTGTGTGCTATCTGCTCATGCCCCGTTATCACTGTGTGACCGCTGGCAAAGGCTACAGGACACAAAGTTAGCAGCAAAACTTTTTCCTACCGTTGATCTCTCCTCTCCCTGTCGGCCGGGGGACCCGGGGCCCCCGGAGCTGATAAGGCGGCTTGTTGTCTGGCCGGTCGCCTGCTTTGGGCTTCCTTCCTCTTCCCCTGAGTTGTTAATTCTGTTACTTTATTGTTGCTGTGTCACCGGGCAAATTTTAACGCCAGTTGTTTGTGTGTTTATTGGTTTAATTTTTAATTTATTTATTAATTCTTTTGCCTGTGCTCTGTGCTTCTTTCACTGCACTCTCTGTCTGGCTCTCTCCCACGTCTCTTTCCAGGCAAAAAGAATTAAAAGCCATTTAGCGCCGTCTCTCCCCCGGAGAACTGCTCTGTAATTAGCATAACTAATTTAGCAGAAATATTTCCCTTTCCCTTAAATTTGCTGTTGTGTATGGGAGGGGAGGGATTGAAATTATGATGTAGCGTAAAAGATGTCTGCTTGTTAAGTGTGTTTGTGTTTGTGTGTTTGCACATTAGAGTATACAACAGGAAAGTGAAGGTATGCAATTTGCAGACTGTGTTTGTGGTCCAAGTCACGTTGGGTGATTTCTTTTTTTCTGATCATTGATGTGTGAGTGCATATCGCTCTATGACTATCTGTCTGTGTGTGAGTGTGTGTGCGTGCGAGTATTTTCCCTTACATTGTGTGTGTTTGCAGTTTTATCTTTGCGTGTGTGTTTTGTATAAGGAGGGCTTCTGTTGGCTGCGGCTTTATCAGTGGTGGCTCCAGCTGTGTGCAGTGTTCCTCAGGGGGTGTTGTGTGTCCTGCTGCTGATGCTGCATGGGCACCGGCCACCACTTGGACTTGGCTTAAACGTGCATGAACACACAACCATATACACACGCTGTATGACAGGGTCACTGGCCAGGATTCAGGACACAACCGAGCGCTCCGCACTGATGCCAACGGATGTTTGTGGAAAGCTATGGAACTCGGTCACACGCAGGCGATGACCTTCAGTCAGAGTGGGCAACTGGAAAGCAACAACAACTGGCAGCTCAACAGAAACACACACATTTATACTCGTTTTACTTTTGCCAGCCTGGTGCCGTCTGATGTCCAAATTACAGCAACATTCTCTGCAGCTACCTTGATTGTCTTTGTAATAATCCGTGAATTGACCAGCTGAACCATTAGCTTCAAAAACAAAAGCTTTGTCCTCTGCTGGGCCCCGTCCTTTGTCCAAATACGAGTCCGAGTGATTTGACAGATTGGGGTGTGTAAAAATCCAGATGGATCATCAACTGTGTCTGGATGGATGAGACACAGTAGGTTGTTAGAGAATCATTATCTGTTAATGGAGGGGTATGACTTGATAAAGGTGCCTTTATCCTCAGCCACAGCTCAAACCAGATATTCAGAGCTTTGGTTTGTGATCTGGTCTTTTACAAAAGAGCCCTCTATGATGGTGTCCTGTCTCTATACTAACTTTACTGTTGGGTATTTGTAGGTAGACTGTATCTCAACCTGATTGTTAAAGGGAGACTTTGTTGCTTGTCAGTCAGTTTGCTCAGCCTCTGTTGCCTTGATTTTGACCATTTTTGAAT